GGAGGGCTCGGAGGAGGTGCACAAGAGAGGGAGAGGGAGGAGGCGAGGGAGGGCGTTGGCTTATATAGCCGCGCCCATATGTACGTGTGGCGGGAGGGGTGGCGACGCCGCGCCGCCCGTGAGGAATCAATGGCATGGTTGACCGTCGGCGGCAGCGCGACAACCTTGGCATTGATTCCCGCTGGAACCGATGCGATGAGGGCGACGAAGCTCCCGTCTCGCTGACTAGGAAGTGCCTGGAGAGGCCGTTCTGGGGCGCGGCTGGAAATGCGATAAGGCATGTCCAATTATAAAATCAGCTCACGTTTATGACTTAGTGCTACACCATTTAGCATGTTGTTTCTCATGCGACAACGCCAAATATTTCAAGGTATTTGTCGATGTCATCGAGTGTGTATGAAGTGTCTTTTTGGTCCCGATGCAACGTACAGGCACATCTATACTACTTATAAAAGAGCAAACATAATCTTTTTTAAGTGTACCTCATAAAACGTACACGGATACATTACCACCGCATGATTAGTTTCACTAAACTTAATCTAACGGCTAGCCTTAACCTAATATGTTCTCTGTATGCACTTAGCAATTTACATTGACTGACCGTACTCCACCGTGAAGGAAAATATGAAGTCCACGCCTGGTCAATTAGGAAACTATAATCACGGACACATCCTATTAAGAAACTAATCACAGACGCATCTAATTATTAGGAAACTAATCACAAACGCATCCTATTATTAGGAAACTAATCACGGGTGCATCCTATTATTAGGAAAATAATCACGAGCGCATCCTATTAGGAAATTAATCACGAACACATCTAATTATTAGGAAACTAATCACGGACGTATCCTATTAGATAACTAATCATGAACACATCTAATTATTAGGAAACTAATCGCGAGCGCATCCTATCGTCTCCTATCAGGGAATCGCGATCGCGAGTCGCCTGTCGTCACCAGCCCACCACCCACGCGAGCCACAACGGGAGACATGCGAAGAGGAGCTGCGGCTTCCTCCGAACACGCACACGTGACGTCGCCGCCTTCGTCTTCTTCCTGGAGGGCAGGTCACTCTTCTACTGACTGCAACAACTTCGCATCGTACAGAGAGGCCAACCATGTTTCTCCGAATATCTTGAATCATGATCCTTATGACTTCATCTCTACTACTTATAAGAAGTACATTTTTTCATTTGACTATTTTTCTGATCTATACTACTTATAAAAGAGCAAACATAATTCTTTTTAAGTGCACCCCACAAAACGTACACGGATACATTACCACCGCATGATTAGTCCCACTAAACTTAATCTAACGGCTAGCCTTAACCTAATATGTTCTCTGTGTGCACTTAGCAATTTACATTGACTGACCGTACTCCACCGTGAAGGAAAATATGAGGTCCACGCCTGGTCAATTAGGAAACTATAATCACGGACACATCTTATTAAGAAACTAATCACAGACGCATCTAATTATTAGGAAACTAATCACAAACGCATCCTATTATTAGGAAACTAATCACGGGTGCATCCTATTATTAGGAAAATAATCACGAGCGCATCCTATTAGGAAATTAATCACGAACACATCTAATTATTAGGAAACTAATCACGGATGCATCCTATTAGATAACTAATCACGAACACATCTAATTATTAGGAAACTAATCGCGAGCGCATCCTATCGTCTCCTATCAGGGAATCGCGATCGCGAGTCGCCTGTCGTCACCAGCCCACCACCCACGCGAGCCACAACGGGAGACATGCGAAGAGGAGCTGCGGCTTCCTCCGAACACGCACACGTGCCGTCGCCGCCTTCGTCTTCTGCCTGGAGGGCAGGTCACTCTTCTACTGACTGCAACAACTTCGCATCATACAGAGAGACCAACCATGTTTCTCCGAATATCTTGAATCATGATCCTTATGACTTCATCTCTACTACTTATAAGAAGTACATTTTTTCATTTGACTATTTTCCTGACTTGGGAGGTAAGGTATGTTTTATCCACTAGAGTTGCTAAAATTGGAAGCATATCTGCAGTTTTTTCTTTCTAAACCGGCATTTGTTGGCCCTTTTTTGTCACTGTTATTCTTACAAGTGGTAGCCTACGTATCATTATTACTACGAACTTAGAGGATATTTGTTATATTGTCAAAATTTTAGAATGTTGAGCCCTTAAAGAAATGTGTAGTACTCAACTAACTATTCCAAGTTGTCATATTAATGCTTTTGTCCAGTGATTAACAAGTATAATTACGCAATTTATCAATGTAATTTTTATTTGGTTGACATGTTCTATTTTCATAATAAAGTAAGTCACTTTTCTTGCTTCCAGACATTACAACGCTTGTGGTGTAATAGTAGAATCGGATGGTCCAACTAGCATTTTTTTGTCTTGTTTCACAGCTGATTCTATGGAGCCAAGACATCTCTACACTTCTCTATGTGACAATGGCTTCCTCTTTTCAACAAACCATAGAGGTCTCTTCCTACTATTGTGTGGTTGACACTCAATTGTAACAATAATTCTTGACTGGAGTTTGTTGGCACTGAAACGGTTCCTTAGCTTGTCCTAAATGACATTTTCATGTGTGATTACACTTGCATAAATGTGTGCATATGGAGAATCATGATGAATCTTCTAAATAATTTTGAGTTTTATACATTGGAAAAAGTGGGTGGTCTTTTAATACAAGAGACATGTTGATTGAGGAGAAACGATATTTCAAATTATTTGTATAAGTTGGGAATAAGAGATTGTGTACTTTATAGGGAAATTTCAAATTTATGAATAAATTGTCTTGTATTAAGTATAGTATAATGTGTTAATCCAAATAGACGCGTGTTGCACGTGCACACTTATTAGTCCAAATAGACGTGCGTTGCACGTGCATATTTACTAGTTTGCTAGTAATAACAGAAAGATGGAATTAGCTTTTCGTCCAAAAAAAAAAACATTGGTAGGTCGGGCGCGTGGCTCTCCATAAATGAGAGCACCGCACAAGTTGTTTCCTCGCCAAAGTGTACGCCTTTACAGAATATAGACGCACGCACACAACACAGTTTGAGCGACTCCGAGTTATGGCCTCGATACCTCATCCGAGGCATTTCGTGGCCATTGTTGACATGATATTAGGCTTTCTCCGCGCCTGTCAACCCATCCAGTTCGTCCTGGCCGGTCTCCTGGCTGCCGGCGTGGCCACCATACAGCTGATGAAGCGCCGCCGTACCGTATACCTCATCGACTATGCTTGCTCCCAGGGTATTGGCAGCTGTCGTGTGCCAAAAGCCACGTTCATCGAGCATATTCACCTCAACCCATTGTTCGATGACCACAGCGTCTCCTTCATGACGCGCATGCTGGAAAGCAGCGCCATTGGCGAGGAGACCAGACTGCCGCCCGGAGACTTTTATATGCCGGCACAGAATAGCTTCCAGGAGGCCGGCGCCGAGGCGGAGCTGGTCGTCTTCTCGGCCATCGACGACCTATTCGCCAACAGGATGGTCACCGCAGACGCCATCGACATACTGGTAGTAAACTGCAGCGTCTTCGCCCCAGTGCCGTCCATCACCGACATGATCGTGAATAGATACAAGCTCCGTGATGACGTCCGCGCCGTAAACCTTTCCGGTATGGGATGCAGCGCCGGCGTGATCTCGGTGGGTCTCGCGGCCGGCATGCTGCAAGCAACGGGCCACGGCGCGACGCAGCACGCTCTGGTCGTCTCCACGGAGATCATCACTTCTAACTTCTACACCGGCAAGGAGAGGCCCATGCAGCTCTCCAACATCCTGTTCCGGGTCGGCGGCGCGGCCGTGCTGCTGTCCACATCGGAGGACAGGGCGCGGTTCCGCCTCTCGCACCTCGTCCGGACGAGCACCACGGGCACGCACGACGGCTCCTACACGTGTGTCTTCCAGGAAGAGGACGGCGAGGGCAACTTAGGTGTCAACCTGTCCAAGGATCTCCTGGCCGTCGCCGGCAACGCTCTCAAAGCCAACATCACAGCCGTCGCGCCCCTCGTCCTCCCTCTCTCCGAGCAGCTGACCTTCGCCCTGTCCTTTGTGGCCAGAAAGCTGGGGCTGACCGTGAAGCTGCACGTCCCCGGCTTCCGCAAGGCGTTCGACCACTTCTGTGTGCACTGCGGCGGGCGCGCGGTTATCGACAAGGTGCAGAGCAGCCTAGGGCTGTCAGACGAGCAAGTGGAGGCGTCCCGCATGACACTTCACCGGTTCGGGAACACGTCGAGCAGCACGGTGTGGTATGAGCTGGCGTACATCGAAGCGAAGGGCCGGATGCGGAAGAACGACAAGATATGGATGATTGGGTTTGGATCTGGGTTCAAGTGCAACAGTGCCGTCTGGGAGTGCATCCGACCGGCAGACCAGCCGGACAGAGCATGGGCCGGGTGCATACATCGATACCCGTCTGCACTCCCCTAAAAAAAGAAAGGAGGAACACTGCACAGAATAACGTCGGCACCTGGAACAATATGCTACGTATGGGGCCATAGGGGCCATTATATTCTTTATTATACAAGTGTTTTCCTACTATAAAAGGTAGTTAAAACAATCGTGTCATAACAAGCTGCAGAGGCTCCCACCCAGATTTACATTTATCGTCCATTTGTATTATAAATACTAGTCATCAACCAGTGCTACATCACGGGCTAGCAATTTCAATAATTAGCTGATTTTGTCTTGTAAGAAACTAATAATTAGAATAGGAAAATGGTTGATGCATGGGAACAAAAAAATTATATGGAAACTGGCGGATGCAATAAGAAATTTTTTTCACCAAAGGAAAATCACATGGTAGTATTTTTCTCCAACAACTGTTTTCTCTAAGACTGTGGATATTATTTCTATCTTTCTCTCTTTTTTCTTTCTCTAGGCAGCACAAACTTTTGAAGTTCATCTGTTTCTCATGTAAAATTTAAGCATTTCTTTGAAAGCACACATGTGTTTATTATTCTTGTAGTGTTGGACATATACAAATATGTATATAATCAGAAAATATATAAATTTAGAAAATTATTTTAGTTGCCATCTACAAATTTATAAGTTATGGAAATTTTGACATGCCATTCAATATGAAACCTGACATAATTTGCTAATAATCATTTAATTTCTCCACTACTTGCTTTCATGCTCATATATAAAATAGGTATCTCAAATTTCATATTGTTATTTATAAAGAAGCAATCATAATAAATGGCATGAATAAATACCAACCAATTTTTCTTTGATACATGTTGGCATATTGACATAATTTTTGTTATAATGGTTGCACGAATAACTTTTCTATCGGTGTCAAAATGAGACTAACATTTCCAATTGCCAAAATAATATAGGAATAAATTAATTAGTTTAAGGACCCTACATTACATGCTGCTCCATTTATGTTTATGTCAACTCTACATCTAGGAGTATTTACATAGGCACAAACTAAGCACACCAGTTCAGATACCAACCATCCTAACTATGGACTTCTGTTCGATCCATGCAAAATTTAAAACGTCGGATTAAGCTATGTAAATGATGCAGAACCCCTAAGATTGGACGGGCCAAGAAGTGGAGTACCATGGCCAATTCCACATCCTAGTCATCTGCCACGGCGATCAATAGGTAGCTTCTATGTGTCCAGATGACAGTCGTTACATGTATCCACACACTAAGTCTAGAGGTAGGGGCGTTGGGAGAGAGGCAGACAACGTGTACTTTTTAAGAAAGGTCATGTTCCACTGTTTTTTCTAGACATGTACTATCCAAGAAATAAAGGGATGTACCATCCCTGCAATAAATGGAGAGATAGTATTTACAAAGTCTTGGACTCTCCAACACGTATGGAAATAGAACTCTTTGTCTATCATCGGATATTATCTCCAACACGCATGTACCACATGATTATTATCTAACGACTACTATTACACATTTTCTAGGATTAACTGTGGAGCCTAGAGGTAAGGGCGTTGGGAGAGAGGCAGCAACGTGTACTTGTTTTTTTAGATCATGTACGACTGTCTTTTTAGAAATATCATGTTTTACTTTTTGTTGTAACACAAACCACCGCTAGAATAAAGGGAGAGATAGTGCTTACATCCGCTTGGACTCTCCAGCACGTAAAGAAATAGAGTAGCTTGTGGATATCACGTACAACAGTTTTTTAAGATCACGTACAACTATTTTTTTACAAAGGTCACGTTCCACTATTTTTTCTAGACATGTACTATCCCAGGAATAAAGGGACGTACCATCCCTGGAATAAAGGGAGAGATAGTGTTTACAAATTCTTGGACTCTCCAACACGTATGGAGAAAAAACTCTTTGTCTATCATCAGATATTAACCACATGATTATTATCTAACGACTATTATTACTCGTTTTCTAGGATTAACGTGGAGCCTTGAAAGGTGCTTCCAATTAGTAAATATATATATAAGATATAAGATGTATGAAATCATACCTTATGTGGTAATTAAAGAAGTTATCTTATTATTAAAATAGACAACTAAGGCATGTTTCATTGTGTTTCAAATATGTGAGGATTTGAAGGTTAAGATTTTTAATGGCCTGACCATTTGGTTCAGTTCTTTTCTTCAACCATGTCGCTCGTTGATAGGCGACTCGGGCAATCCCTAAAAGGTCGCCACCCCAGCCGTCTCCTCTGTTCTCCCCACCCTGCCGCCGTCATAAAGGTTAACTTTCCGCACGGAAGCGCTCCCTAAAAGCACATTGTGGTGGCCTTGGGTGATGAATCATAAGCGATGGAACATCGATGCTGCGGCGGCAGCCCCTCAATACTCTAAAAGTTCTCGCTGAGAATTGGCGCCGTTGTCACCGCCAGCCTCTGCCACAGTGACTGCTGGCCACATATGCATGAGTTAAGGCTGCAAAGAACGTTCATCTCCCCATGTTCTACGATAGTTCCGTGTATGCAATCATGGATTTTTCGGCATGCTGATATAATCATTGAATTAAATTAATTATTTCCAGATTTCAGTTTATTATTTTATTAAATGGCGAACCAGTACACCCCTTCTCTATTTCGGTGTTCTACACCTAGGCTTTTCCCCAAACCATGCCTCTAGCCTTCATGATATATTTGGGAGCTACCCAAATTATTTCATGATTTTATCCTTCTAGTATCAGCTACTCATAGTGCAAACTCAATTTATTCAATAAAATGGGGATATTTTCACAATAAATGTAAAGTGATCGTCAAATGACTTGAATTATTTTGTGTGGCCACATTATAGTCTACAAAGGCTATATTCAAATTTCACGTCAATCAGAGTTTGCTTGATGCCCAAACGATTAAATAAACTTGAGTAACCCCAAATAATTAAATATGAAAGGCTATAGTCGGTTAAATTATAAAGTTTTTATTTCAAAAGAGTACTAAATAAGCCAGCCCTTTTTGTTGTCACCTAACTTAACATAACCCAATAACCCACCTACCAACACATATGAGTAGACGGGTTGTATCCCGTTGCAATTTAGTTATTCATCACTCAAGTGAGCATAATAGCAATGAGGGTATTATAGATACGGCTCTCCTGAAGGCCCTTTTCTATTGTTGGCACATGAATTTTTTGTACTACTCTATGACTTTATTAATTTGAGAATATTTATATAACTTGCATAAATCAAATAAATTCCACTGTAGCTTAGATTTAAATATTTTAGATACGAAATTGAGAAAAATGTGAACAACCCAAATCTGGACATATTCTTGAAATTTCGTGAAAAGTTGTTTGATCTGGAAAACATTACTCTTACCAGTCCCTTTACTGAAAATGAAATAAAGCATGCTTCCTTCTCCATGAAACCTAATTGGGCCCCTGGTGCTGATGATCTTCCAATATAATTTTCCAGTGTTGTTGGGAGGTGGTTAGAATATATCTAATGATATTGTTTATTCATCTCCACTAGGAGAAACTTGATGTACCCCACAAGAAAAGAAAAAACTTGATGTAAAATGCTTGGACTAGATATTATCACCATGTTACCTAAAATCTTTGATGCAAACAAGATACAACAATTTAGACCTGAATGGCATTGAAGATTTACTAGCAAAAGGGCCCGTGTCTTGCAAGGGGAGAGAAAATTGGTGTTTTCATCGAAACGTCCACCACATGGCATGATAGCATGGGACGGAGCCACGATATGGAGCCTCACGCGGAGGTGTAGAAGAAATGTATATCAGCAGCGCATTAGTCACAAAACCAGCCTTAACAACGATGCAAAGAAAACTTACTTCGAAAATATAAAAATCTACACTTAACTAGCTTATAGCTTCACCCATACATTTTGGAATAACACTGATTGATCTCGCAATGATATGCGTTCGACTTTACATAGATGTCAGATATCCTTGTAACGTTCATGTGATCGGCTTTGCAATATCGTCCTCCCGACTTGAAATACCACCGAACGTACTTGCAACATATGCATAGTCGGTTGCACGATGGCAGTCCAACTTTTGCAGTAAAAAAGAATAGTGACAACTGGTGTTGCATTGGCATGCTTATGCTAAATGCATAGGGTGTTTAGTCTTGGAACGCCACGTCCCACTTGCAGCAGTAACGGCCAAGCTTCCAGTGTCATTTATTCCGGTAGCATCAACGACGTACAATCAATCAGGTAAAATTTTAAAATAAAATGTAATTTGGTCGCACAAAAACATTCATGTATTTTTTTAACACTAATATGGTGCTCTCCTATCATCCTCCCAAGCGAGCCTCATGAAATCCTTCAATTTAGTTTCCGCTTAATTACTAAAGGCCATGCATGCAAAGGGCGAGCCCCCGCTTCATGAAATCCCACTTTAATGGACGAGACTTGCCTGAGCCCCACGCGTGTGACCATTCGCGCTCCCGCGTATGTGGCTTGATTTGATTGGAACAAAATAAGGCCCGGGTCCACCCCATTAAAATCAGGGGGGGAGATGATTAAATTAGAAAAGAAAAGGAAAAAAGATAGCCGTGGGATGAAGTGGGAGCACGGATTTGAGCATGGGAACGGAGCATGCAACAAGAGCCTCTCCCCCACTTTCTTCTCTCATCAAATCTCTACTTACACACAGAAGCATCCCTCCCCGTTTTCCTCTCATCAAATCAATCTCGTTTAATTATCATCAATCCTGTTTAATTAGTTCCCCAGCATGCACAAATCATTTCTCTCTCTCTCTCATCAAGTCTCTCTCTTTTTTTCCCACAATCCCGCATAATTATGCATGCATGTTTCCTTCTTTTGTAGAGTGTTTTTCTTTTTTCCTCTGTTTATTGATTCTCAATGCGGGTTGCTGATATTTTAGACAATTTACAAATGCATATAAATTGGGGAAATTTGATGTAAAGAATAAAGGTGGGACTATTATTAATATTAAGGAACCATATATTGTAACAAAACTTGAACTAGCCCGGGTGGCTGTAGCCTTC